TAATTTTATGCTGATGACAACCCAAACTTATTAATTTTATGCTGATGACAACCCAGACTTATTAATATTATGCTGATGACAACCCAAACTTATTAATATTATGCTGACGACAACCCAAACTTTTATCATTATGCTGATGACTATTTTTTTGTTCATATACAGCTATAAGTTAGAAATTATCACTGATGTTATCTTTAAAATATGTTATTTTTGATTAAATAATTACAATTTACAATCATATAAAACTAAAATTATTAAATTTATTTAATGAATTAATATTTGAAAATTGAATAAATATTTGAATACGATATTGTGATTCGTATTTACACCTTTTTAAAAACCTATGTAGCGATTCTTGCAAGTTTAAAATTCAATGTCTTGATTTGCTCATGCGGTCAATATATGATTTTTGATTCAAAATTTTGTACCAAAACATTAAAAAATAAGTAAAAAATCTTGCCAAATTGTCAAAATAAATTATTTTTTTCAAGATGATATGTTAAAAAAAATAAAATTTTGAATAAACTATTTTATAATCTAGACACTTTTCTTGTATACATCCTACACTTTATAAGAAAAAAGAAACAAATACCTGGACATTTTAAGATTTTTATCTGGAAAACCTGGAAAAATCAGGGAAATTTGAAATCTGATTTGAGTGGCCACCCTGTGCAGAAAAAACGCCTATTTTTAGAGTTTGTCAGGAAAACAGTAAATCGAAATTTTGATCACTATATTGGGTTGAATATTTGTATTCTAGAATTCTAAATTTACTATAATCTGTTTTACTATGTCAGATTTATTATGTTTTAAATTTGTAAAAATCATTTTTTTCATTAGTAATATGCATATTTAATTTGAAAATAACATGCTTTAGAGAGCCAGAAAGTTATGTGCCTAGAGGCTCTAGCTGGATAATCAAATTTGCTAATTGAAATATTAAATTGAAAATGATCCATTTCAAATTGCATTGTTAAATTTATTATCTAGAAAAAAAATTATAATTAGCACTGAATCTTTTATTTAATTCCTACAAAAGGGGCAGAGATCCCTTTAGCTGCTGCTCATGAGCCCCCGTAATTACTCAGTGTAAAACGGATTGAATTGAATTGAAAACAGATTGAACAGATGAATCAAGCTGCACTTGAAATGACAGTTTTTATATTAAAAAAAAATCATTTATTTTAAGCATCAATCATCTATCAGCAAGCAAAAAAGAAATAGAAATGCCCGTAATGAGTTATTAATTTTTTAAATACATAAAAACTATTCTCAGCAAAAACCAACTCTCTATGTTTCAAGAATTGTCTCATTGAATATTGAGTATGGGATTGAGTATAGTAAAGTGCGGCGTGCTCTCTGCTTTCGTTATGGCACTGTGTTTCAATAGGTAAGGCTTAATTTAGCCTAACAAGATTTATTTGAGCTCTGAGGCTCTTCTTCAAATTCCTTTCAAGTTTATCAATTGTCTCATTCTTTTAATTTTTTGCTTGATCTCGTCCTGTTTTTCAATTCATGCTTGTGTTAACTGGATATTTTTAGGACTTTATAACTGATTAAAAATCTTGTGTCACAAACTTTCTTTTTCAAAGATTTGTTTCAGGATTAATATTGGCATCCCTTCATTAACAAGTAACTTTTCTCTGGTGCAACTTTTGCAAAAATATTTAAATTTTCTGACATTATAAATTTAAGGAATTTTGCTGAAATTGATTGATAATTTTGTTTACTAAAATGCTAAATAGTTTTATCTCATGCATTGTAATTTTATGCATAACGGTAAATGTCTTTTATTATAACATTGACAACGAGCCTGACATATACTTTAATTCGTTTTCTGTTTCCAAAGGGTACCTAAAGTTGTAAGTATAAACATTATAATGTGCTCGTAGTTAAATGTAAATTTACTTTATTATTTTGTTTATTTATATTTAACATACCTCTAATACATTTTTAAGTAGTCCGAATAACATCCTTTTGTAGTTTTAAAGAAAGTATGTTTATTAAAATGAAACTGATTGAGCTCTACCAATTTATACGAGCTGAATAATTTAACAAATAAAGTACAAATAGAGCATTATAGCAGCTTCATGGCATTTAAAAAAACAAAGAGAAAAACAAATTAGAAATTAGAATATGAGTTTACTTTAATATTTAAAGCAAACAAATCTATTTATAACAATCTTAAAGTTTTCACACATTACGCAAATGTTATTTTTATTTCAAAGCCATTGGCACATTAATTAAAAAATATCATATACTATGAAGCCCTTTGTGGTGAATTTAATGTCAAATGGAATTTGAAACAAACGGGAAAAAAAAATCACTAAATTTACTGTTATAGATTTTTTTAGCAAATTTTTCTAAACTTATATTCTTTCTTTTTTTCTTCTTCATTATCATTTGAAAATATTTAAGTTGTTTTCTACAAAAATTCAAAATAAATAAATAATTAAAATAAGGAAAATAATAGGCAATGCTTGCAAGACATTTAACTGCCCAAACATGGCTAAAAGACAGTTTAAACACTATAAAAAGTATGAAAATAAACTTTTGCATACATAATTGAATCACAATTTTCGTCTAATATTTTGGTACAGGCTTTTGGGAGTAATGTTTTTTTAATAATTGGTATGATTCAGTAGCAGATATAAAATACCTGTTCCAAAAAATACTAGGCATCTGTAGCTTCAACTATAATTTGCAATAAAATAAGCTGATATAAATAAGATGTTTTTAATTATACCGTAAAAAAAATACTTAAAAATTTTTTTTTAAGAAGAGAAAGAAGGAAAGGAATAAAAATGTGTACAAAAACTCTTAATTTAATATTTCCTGTTTCCATCTGTTTTCTGTTGATTGGTCCCAAGACTCTGATTTTGTTGTTAAATTTTGTTTCTAATATGATGTTTCATATTGTTATCAATTGAAAAATCATCTTAGCTGATGTTAAATGGTGTTTCTAATTGTTATCAAAATATCTTGCTTTACATACTGTTATATTGGCATCCATATCTAATTATTGAATACGTTAGTAGCAATTATATATCTTAAATAGTATAAAATAAGTCATTTTAAGTAAAAAAAAGAAATATTTTCTGTTATGTTTTTATTATTTATGCCTATTTTTTATCTTTTAGTTTTTGATACAATTTATTTTATTTTGTTTTGGCATTTATACTTCACTCTTTAAATACTTAAATTTTTACCTTATTACCAATCTTGTTTTTTTAAAAATCTTTTTCCTTTTATAGTGAAAATGTTAAAGATTCAAGATCTCTATTCATTTTTAACCCTAATCTATTGACCAAGCTAAATGCATTTTAAATGGTTTAAAAAATTATTTGAATGCTTTAGCTTTTTTCTTTATTCTAACCTACTCTCTCCCTTTCTTATTTGTCATCCGCTTAACCCTTTTTCGTACCTGTTATAGTTTGCGTTTTTTTCATTGATCAATTTTTTCATGTTATCTTCCTGCTGCTATTATATTGATTCCATAGTAGTCATTTTTCAACTCTTTATTGACAATGGTACTTGCAACAGCTTATTTTTGTTTTATCAATATTATTTTGCTACTAGCACAAAGAGAATCTTACTCTTTTAGGATCCTGTTTAATTTTCTCGTTTATTAAATTTAAATTAAATCTTTTTTAATATAAGTTAATTATAATTAAATTTTCTTGTTATATTAACAGAGGTGTAAACTATTATGATTTATCTGTAATAATTGTGATTTTTTGGTCAAAAATAGTCTTACGGTTGAGTAATAAAAGTTACATAATAATTAGTTTCAATTTTTTATTTATTTTTTCCTTAATGTTAAGAAATTCTCTTGTTTCTTTTTTTATATTGCTTAAACAATTCAAAAGCAATAAATTAAAGACAAGATTTGATAGAAATAAAATAAATCAAAGAAACTTAAATGTTCTATTATAAAAAGGCATAAGAATTCTGATCTAAAGAAAAAAATATTTTAGTAATACAAATGCAGGATGATAAAAAGTCCATCTAATTCCAATTTAACTAATTCCAACCAAAATTGAAAACATTGATTCCAACTAATTTAATTTTATCATTTTATAATGAAGTATAAAATTTCAGTGATGTATAAATTTTAGCTTATTACCTTCATCTAAGTGTTAGTTTTTTTAAAAATTAAATATTAAATTCATGGCTAACTTTTTTAATATTATATACTGATGTAGAATTAAGACATATGTACACCATAAATTACTCTAATTTAAATTTTGTAAATGTATCGGCCAAACAGTTATTGTACTTCTGATAACTAAGAGCTAGTTTAAAAGTTGGCATCTTTGTATTAAAAAAAATTAGATGTTTTTTTAATTGAATGTAAAAATTTTCATTCCTATTGTATACTAAACAAATTGCATGTTATTTCAGAACACTACACATCCAGTGAACGGTATTTATAATGCTTACAGCAAGTCTAAAAACTCTGAACATGGTTTGAAACATTCCAGTGGGAAAGAATCAAGTATGTTGTTTGATTAATTAACGTTTATTTATAATAGTTCTTACTGAGAAAACATATAAAGAAAATAGTTGAATCAAACATTAAAGCGTTAAATTGTTAATGGTTCCTAAACACAGGCACGAGATTCTTCTGACTTTCTAAACTTTAAAAGAGAGAAAATAATGAAAGAAATTGCTGTGTTAAATGTATATTTTTTCTTATTATTTCCACACTATTTTGCTGTGTTTCTTAATTATTATTTTACTCTCTTTAATCATAATTTGTAAGTAAAGTTTTCTGAACTGTCAATGTTCATACATAGTAAACAAAAACTTTGAATAATCCAGAAAATAATTAAGCTTTTTTTTTTTGTGTGTGCAAAATAGTTTTATATGCTTTAAGTCATGATTAAGTTAGATTTTTTGTGTTTTCAGACTTTTTGTCCTTTCTTCACTCTCATACCTGTAAACAGCCATTATTTTGTTCTTTTTTTTTAAATCCTTTTTTTTTATCCTTTTATTTTTTATATGAATTCTTGCAGTCAGTAGTGATCTGTAATTTCCTTCTCTGCTTCTGAACTTATTATTCATTTTATTCATAATGCTTGAATCAATTTGATGCTTGGTAAAGGGGAAAAACAACTGGCTCTGATGAGAGTTTTTTCGATTAATTAGGGTAATTTATTTCTATGTGTTAAGGGGTAAATTTATCTTATCTATTCTTTATTGTCTGACAAATAAGGACTGTCTTCGTAACTGTTAAGTCTGAATTAAAATTAGAATATTATTAAATTATTATTTTTTATTGAAATTTTTTTTATAATTAAATAATGCTAATTAGTAATACATTTTAAAAAGAACTTAAAAAAGTTCAAATTAAAAAATTAATACTAAATTTAAACAGGGTTATAATTGATAATTACAATGTGCAAATAAAAACATAATTACAATGTGCAAATAAAAACAATTTGTTTTAATATTTTATTTATTTATTTTTTTAAAATATTTTCTACTTTATTTGTTTGCTTTGTTTGTCAAATTTTTTTATAAATATATCCCTAGCTCAATAGACAAGTACGATTAAAAAGAAATTCAATAGTTTAGCCAAAATCAAACTTGCCTGATAAATATAAGTGATAACTAAATTATGTAAATTAAATCAAAGTTATCACTATTTGTTTTATGGGCCCTTTTTATTTTGGTCATCTTGTATGATATGAAGTGTGATAAAAATTTCAATATAGGTTATTTGTAATTAAAGAAGACCTTTAAGTAATTTGCATAAAAATTTGGATTTCTTGTTGAAATGAAACATTAAGCATGTCATCATTATCATTCGTTAATTTATTTTCCCTTTGAAACTGTGATAAATAAATACTACTACAACACTACTAATGACAATAACTCCAAAACTTAGCTCTTGATAGAAGGCAACTTTATATTTAAATTGAATTAGCTTTTATATGATTTTTTTTCATGGTGAGAGTAATATGTAATCTTTTTTAAAAGGTGCTGAAAAAAAACCCACACCCGATGCCACACTTTCAGATAATGTTGAATGTGCAGTGGAATGCAGGGAGGACATCAATATTGAAAGTATGCTAATTAATTTAACTCAATCACGTAATCAAAAATTTGCAAATTTTTTTCAAAATTTTGCAGTGTGTGCAAAAATTGATTACAATTCGAGATTTATTTATTCATTTTATTTTATATAAACTCTTTTGAAACAAGTTATTGATTAATACCAAAAATATACTGGCAGTAAATGCTTTGCTGAAGTTTTAAAATTTATAATATTTGTTCAACGTATTTATAAATAATAATAGTAAACTAGCCATAAAATTAGTTAATGTTGGTGGTAACAAGATGGGTGGCCTTCGTATCTTTTTGGTGAATTATTGACACTGATACCTTTTTCTCTCTGATGTGTAACAGGAATACAAAAGAAACAGGAATACTAAAGAGAAGGAAAACTTAACCTCTTTATGGAAAATTTCCAGTAATTAGAAATAATGTTCACTCAGGTTATTTCACAAGGCAGTGAAATTCTAGTGCCTTTGAATTTAAAAACACGTGAAAATGCTTTTTAACAATTAAATTCGGCATAGCAACTCTTTTTATTCTTTCGATAGATAATAGGAAAGTGTTGCGTGACTCTCATTTACTTCAAAAAGTGTGATATCTTCTCAAAGTTGATCTCGTTTTTTTTCAACCCTGCTTTAGATGAAGTATAACTTAAAAAGTAATCTTCATCTAAAGCTGGCCAGTGAACCTAATGCTATTCAGACAGCATTTAAAAGTTGTTTAAGAAGACCCATATCAAATAACCAGAGCAACATCGTTGTATACTGCTTTCAAAGTTGGTTGGCGTTTTTGCAAAGGCTAATATTCCACCAGACAAGCCAGTTAATACTTAATCCTATATGCATACTTATTCGACACTTAAAGGTATTGATGTCATTCCAAGATCCAGCAACTTACGAAACTATTTCCTGCCTAAAACTTAACAAATTTAATAAAAATCAAGTGTCAGATATTTTTTTAATCTGCCGTGGGTGTAAGCATTGTTAGGGATGAAACTACAGACACTTATATATTAAATGTGCTAGATGTTCCATCAATGGGAATACAGGACGGCAGTTCCGACATTTAATTGTCTGTTCTGCATTTTTCTTAGGAAACATTCCGCTTGAAAATGTCAATTTTAAAACTGTTAGCGAAGCAATTATACAGTGTTGTCAAATTTACTAACTTCATTTTGACGCAACTACATGTTACTTGTCCTACTTAAACAAAGCATTGGGAAAAAAAGTTTAAAAGCAGTATTCTTGAATGCTGTTCATGTTACTGGCAATACTTACCTTTTAAATCTCTTTGGAGAAATGAATGGCAAATTTAATTTGAAAAGGTGAATTATGTAAAGACTGATTTCGAGTTTTTCTCATTAAAATGGACAAAAACTCCTCTTTACCACTGGTTCCTGTGCAAACCATCTGGAATAATTGGTTTGAGGCAGCTTTATTTCATGCAAAAGATTTAGTGGAATATGCAGAATTCTTTGATAAAACAACCAAATACTAGTATCTCTTTGATAAGCACAATTTCTGAGAAATGTTGTGATGCAGAATTGAATAAAGATATAAAAGAAATTGAAAAATATTCATCTGTAATTATAAATCAATTTATCTTATTTGAAAAACAAGGAATAAATTAGTATGTTATCTTTAAATGAGATGTCTGATTTTGCAAAAGATTTACAAAGCAAATATACAGCAAGTAATTTCTCAAAATCTCGAAAAACTCTAAAATTCTGCAAAGTAAGAATTCAGGCATACTTTATCGTACGAAATAATACTGCCCACTGATTTCGCCAACCAACTTCAATCTTTTTTAAAGCAAGCAGAGTTTTCTATCCTTGCCAATTTAAATATTTAGATGTTTTTCATGCAGATGATAATTCTTTTATTTTTAACTTTATTCCGATGTTTGAGGATGAAGAAGAATTGATGAACAAATTCAATGCTTACATAGCAACAATCAATGAATTGTATGTTGAAAGTAAACAATTATTAAGTTTTAAAAATCTAAAGAAGAGAATTATCCTTAACTGTCCATAGTGCTGATTTCCAACAACCAATCAGTTCCAACAACCATGTGCCATATTTTGTGTTAAAAATCTCTACATTTAAATAAAAGTATTAATATTCTTGAAAAAATGAAATTTTATAACTTTTTTTTGTGTTTCATAAAGAGAGTTATCATTGTGTTTTCATGCTGATTTTCATCATATTTCTTATAACATCTATGATTTCGCTAAAATTTCGTAAGTTTTGAGAAAAATTTCTCGCGAATCTATTTCCAGTTATTTTTCTCACGAAAAACTTTTAATTTTAGTTATTAGCTTACAAAAATTTATAGTCATTTCATTTATATTTCTTCTCATCAATGCTATTTTAATAAATAATTTAAATTTATAATTTTGTTATTTCCATTTTCTTTATCAAACAAGCTCTTTCTAAAATTAATTTATACCTATATATATATGCCTTTTTGTAAAATCAATGCTGAATTTATTAAAAATGGCTTAGAATTCTTAATTATTTAATGATTAGAAACTTTTATGTGTGAAACAATTCATAAATTCAGACTGAAAAAAAACAACAATTTTCTACATTTATTTTAAATTCTTAATGCATATATAAATGTCGTGCTAATTTTTGTAGGATTTGTTATCGAGTATTATCCTTGAGGAACCATCCATTTCCTTGTTGGACGGCGGCAGAGTATCTTGAAGGGAAAAGTCCTGGAATTCTCATTTAACTGTTAATTGTTTCTTTAGAACTATCTATAGAACAGTCTTTGTCCAATAATGCTCCATGTAGGCAGCTCTGTGCTGTTGATGTTGCTGTTCTACTTTTTTTCTTTCTTTATTAAATTTGTTGAGTTTAATTGTTAATTTAATTATAGTTCCATTGCCCCACAAACATTTATATTAAAAAAGATGCTTAGAAATTTTAAATTTCTGGGAATTTGGTTTTGTCTGGATAGTGGCCATCTTAAATGTTCTGTTCAATGAAAAACAAAGTACTTGAATCGCTTTATAGCAAACTCTCCCAATTGCTACCATCTCTCTACAAAAAATTTCTTTAATTGGAAAAATTAGTAACATTCAAAATATTTTCATGATTTTTACTGATGTTTATAAGTTTAATTTTGGCTCTGCTATTCATTCTACTCTGTTATTCATTCTAGTGATAACTCATATCAATAGAATTGTATGTGACGAACTCATAACATATGTCTGTATGAGTCATAATTTGCTAAATATTTTTTCTGCAAAAAATTTCTCTCCTCCATGGTCTGGAAGCTTCTTTGTTTAGAAATTTTTCAAATGGATTATATTTTATTGTAGGGAAACTTCTCTATATTTTTGTAACATTCAAAAAAGTATACAGTTAGAGAGAGAGAGAGAGTTTGGAATCCAACACACTTTTCTGTACAACAAATTAACTATTTCGTGTACCCATCTCTGGACATTTTTCTCTCATCATTCATTCTAACGAATTTATTCATTCTCATAATTCAAGAGATTATATTATGAGTCATTATTTTATAAATTTTATAAGTCATTATTTTACTTAAATAACTGCAAAAATCTTTATTCTCCATTCATGGAAGTTTCTTCATTGTGAATTTTTCTATCGGACTTGATTTCATTGTAGTGAGATTTCACAAAAAAATATTCAGTTAGAGTTGGGAAACACAAACTCAATATTTGAGTTTCAAAAACTTTTTTTTGTTAAATGAAGCCTTTAAAAAATAAATGATTTTTTTCCCTCTCCTCTTAGAAGACATACCAAGCAATATGAACCTAGTTGTGCCTGAAACTTCATATTCGAGTAGCGACGAAGAAGACTTTTTTGATGCAAATGAAGAAACAATTGGATCCATCCAGAATACAAGGTGCACTATGTTATTTATTATTAATTAGAATGTTAATTATTGATAATTTTTTTTTATTATCTCCACTTGAATAAGGAAATTAAAATTACATGTGTGTAAATAATGCATATTACTTTGATATAAATACAGTCTGCTTTTTTTAAGATGACAATATTATGTTGGGTATAGTTTGTCTAAAGTAAAAACTCCCCTAGCCATTCGTCTGGACCCGTGGCGGGGATTATGGTAACAAGGTTTAACTATTTCAAGTAGGGGTGTGGGGTCACTGTTTAGGGCAGGTTTTGGCTCTAGTCGGCGAGAGAAAGGGAATCTTTTTCTTTGGTCTATTGTGTCAGCCCCAGAGTGAAGAGAAACTACCCTCCCTGAAATAGGCTATTCTTGCTTCCATAACAGCACAGGGCCTCAGACATTATGGCGGGAGGTGTTCTTACCATAGACAAACTATATGTTAGTCTGACATTTTAACATTTTTCTGACCCAATTATTAAAAAAAAATATGTATTAGAATATTTATTTCTTACAGCATTAATTAATTGTTATTAGTTATGTTTATTAATATTTATTAATTAATGTTTTAACTTCGCAGCTCTGAAACAGTAGTGGAGGAAACTCCTACCCGTAGACCATCAAGTACACACAAACTTACAACTCAAGACTATGATGGTGAATTATTTCTTTTTGATTTTCAGTTAATTTATCTTATTTTTTCAGTTAATTCTTATTTAATGTGGACCTGTATGAATGCCTAGTACAGTAGTACTCATGGAATTTATTTTAATTATTAAATCAATTTCATAGAAATTGATTCCTCCAGTCCTGCAGCATTTTTTGTGCAAAAATAAATTAGATAAAATAGCAGATGTTGAATCCCTTATTGATATAATTAAGTTACTGTAAAACATATTAAAGATAAGGAGAAAACTGGTATTTAGTAAAGAAAAATAAAACTGAAATTGCTACCTAATAACAAATTAAAATTGAAAATTAAAAAAGAAACAATATAAAAAACTTGTTCTTAATTCTATAATCAAAATTTTAAAGTTCTTGATAAAAACATCAAAAAATGTTCTTAAAGAAATTTAAAAAAGAAAAAAAGAACCTTGTAATGAAACATAGATTTCAAACTGATATGTTGTTTAGCTCTTAAAATTTGCTTTGACATATAACTGTATTAAAACATATAGTAAAAGAAATTGAAACTTAAAATTTATGTTAACTGCAGAAATAATAGAATGCTTAAAAAAAAAGAAAACTTTTTTGATACCTATATATATCAGAGAAATGTTATACAAGACAAACCACTTATGCCCAAATAGTTCCAAAAAGCCAGTTGCCGTTACTACACTCCACTGTTGGTGTTAGTAGTTGGTGTAGTCCTATTTTTTGTAGAATTTTCCTATTCTTAACATTGCAATCAAAGACTCACACTCTTTTAATTTTCTTTATTTAAATAGTAAGTAAATAATATTTGAGTTCATTATTCTAAGATATATTCTACCACCAGTATGCTCTTTCTTAAAATGCAAGAAATTTTTTTTCGCACACTAAAAGAAATTTGAAGTTAATTAAATTCAAGTCTACAAATCTAGAGGTCAGGGGTTCGATCCCCAGCAGTGACGCAGGAACATATATTTCGCACTTTACATTTTAAACTTATAAATCAACTACTACAAACTAATTTTACATTTCTATAGTTTTTTTTTATTTCAAATTTATTAAATTATGCATTTTAATATGCATTTTTAATTTAAATTTTGATAAAAAATTATAAAAATCTTTTTAAACATTTTTATATGTTAATCATTCAGTACCTGGATTTATTTTAACTTCACATAAACAACTGTAGCTTCTTATTTTTCATTTGATAAAATGAACATTTTTTATTCTAGTTTTCTTTTTGTTAAAAAAAAGTTAGAAGTAAAGCTTTACTAAAAAAGTTTCATTTAAATAATATTCAATTTTAGTAAAAATCCGTCCTTATCAATTGAAGAAAAATATCTATTTCTAAACTAGTAATGACTAGAAACTTCAACTATTTAGCTAATATTAACTATTTAAATTAAAAATGTAATTATTGAAATTGAAATTTTATTCAGTTCTTTAGATTTAAAATTATTTTAATTTAAAATTATTTTAATTTATAATAATTATATATATTTATATCATAATAAAACTTTTTATTTATGAGCTCATATATATGAAGTAAATCTTTACTTTTATATTCTTAAGTTGTTCAGCATTGATTTGATTAACATAGCAATAAAATTAATATGTAAACTTAGAAATATTTTATAGTTTAATACTATTTTAAATCAAAACAGCATTTTATTAACCTCGAAATAAAGTCTCATCCTTACTCTATACAAATAATTTTCAGAAGAAAATTTAGTGACACGTATTACGATGATTTAAATTAGTAAATTATTCTCTTTAAATTTTAGCGTTGACTTCTGTTAGGTTGTTATAGATGAGTAATGTAAAATTTTAAATTAGCAAAAAACTTACTTAATTAAAACAAAAGTTATTTTCAATCTATATACATCGAGACTTCTTGAAAAAAAAAAGTTACAAAACTTAAGCATGCTGGTCGCATTAAAAGCTACTTTCTCAAAATTTATTTTATATGTATTTAGAACTAGATGGCAGCACCTGTCACAAAATTAATACTTATTGATTGCAATTGAAGATTTTGGTCAGTTTATGTAGTATAATTCTATTTTGCTAATATTCTTTTATTTCTATGTTAAGTGAGGTATAAAGAAGAAAAAGAATCACTGTTGAAAGTGGCTAGATTAAAAAACATAATATTCTATTTGAATGTCTGAGGAAACTTCAATTATTAATGATAATCAATTATTTATATATAATAATTATTTATTTATAATAAATAGTAATTATAGTTTCAAATGTTACAACAAAGTTTTCAAATTAATAAATCTTTAGTAATTAATTAATTAATAGTTAAATCTTTTGGTTTGAAGATTTAATGTCAGAGAGGAATTTCATTTTTCTTCATCATGAAGAATTTATTTAACTATTTCTAATTTGAATGAGAAAAATTAATATTTTGTTCCATTTCTCTTAAAAAAAATAAATATGATGATAAAGAGTATAACAGTTTTGGTTATACCTATTATTTCAATTAATGTTATAAGGCTTTTTTTAATTTATTGTTGTGTTTTTGTCAAAGAAAATACTAAGTCATGAAAAATTCTTGGAATTAGTCATGGAAAGTCATGGATTTGGAAATCTAAAATGTAGCTGATACCCTGTATATATCAGTAGTTCCTAGCCAGAGGGAATTCCCTAGGAAGAAATTTTATGCTTTCATAAGGGAATGAGGTTGGTCTGATTAGCTTGATTTCTGCTGTAGAACCCGTTCTATCTACATAAAATGGTTTTAGAAGAATATTTTATAAAGTAATATTTAGATACCATCCACAATCATCAAAGTTTAAAAAAAAGCATGCGGACAAAATTTTTTTCAAAAAAGTTGTGAATTTTTTGCTGTAAAATCCCCACAGGTAGTTCTAAAAACTCATATCATGATTAATTTTATAAATAATGCTTTAATGCTTGAGTATCTTTATTACCCATTGCCAAAATTGTATTCAAGATTAATAGTAAACAGTGCATGTGTGTCGTCATTGCATGCGTTGCTATGACGACCGCCGCTGTTTGATAATTGTTTTAGAATTCTTCTTTTGCACTATTAATTTTGTTATGCATTAAATTGGCGAGTTTATTTTTGTGATATAGAACCAGAGAGATCCCATAAATACTTCCTGAGTGGTGAATAAAATAGATTTTCATCATTTGAACAATATTTTTGTTTTCATTGTTCTAATTAAGAATCCAGAAATTCTAACCTACAGTTCAAACTGGATCACTTTCAATACTAATTCAGGTGAATATCACAAATAAAAGGGGTAAAAAAAATTGGACAACAACCATTTTGCCAATGGGTAACCTGTGATCACCTTTTGACAATCCTAATTTTTTAGTCTTTTTTTTTTTAATATGGGCTCGCATATATTTTCTTCACAAATGTATGGGGATCACATGTTTAGTTCACTCTTTGATTAAGTATTGGATTTATATGTATTTTTTTATTTACTTTTTTTTATTTTACTATTTATTTAAATTCAAGTTGCGTACTTAATTTATTTATAAAATTTTTTTTTAAAATTTATAAATATGAGTTATGATTTATATTTTTCTTTTTTGAAGATAAGTTAATGCAAAACACATTTTCGAAAAATTTTTAAATGTATTTTTTATTTTATTTTAAGGTTGTTTGTGTTGGTTTTTAGAGGCTTTTTTTGCATTTTTACGGGCATTTTATAAGAATAAGATCAGCAAAATCCGAGCCCTGATAATTACTTTTCGTATGTCTTTTGCTATACTATGTATAATACATGTTTAAACATGACTTCATTTTCTTAATTATTCATTACTCTTAATGTTTGTGAAGAATGCTGAGTTTTGTTATTCTATTTTAGCTTTGTATGAAGATGAGGAAGAAGAGTGTGAGTATATCTCTTATTAACCTATAGTTAAAAGTCTCATATTCACATACAACCGAATAAAAACAAATGTATCAATTTCTTTTTAATTAAAAGAAAATGATCTGGTATATTCTTGTAATGAGAGTGAAAAAAAAAAGGATTTTGTAGTTTTTTAAAGTTGTACCATTTTTGATATATGACTCCACCCATCCAAAAAGGAAAAAAAGAGTGAATGAAAGAAAGAAACAGCACTTGAAAAAATAAACTGTTTTTTAAAATTTGGATCTATATTTTTCTTTACATTTATATCTCTTTATTATCTTTCTTTTAAAAGTAACTGTTTCGTTATTAGTTAAGTTACTCAACAATAAAAAATAATGACTTTTTATTCACTGCAATTTATGGTGGGTAATTTATTAAATACCTGTTTTTACATATCACATATTAACAATTCACAGTTACAATTTAAAAAAGTATAGAATACTTCTTTTTATGGATGGTTCCCAGTAGAACAACAAAGTCAAGCATCACTGGCTGCTATCAGTAAGCGGGTGGGTGACCACTTTGATCAGCCAATGTAGAGACCGGGGGCGTTAGTAACGGTCCTCGTTAAACTGTTCGACAGCAAAAGTGCTTAACTTCACGCAAAGGTCATCAGGCTACCAAAGCAAGAGAGTTACCCCCCTTGCAAAGGATCAAAATTACAATGGGATGTTTTCGGATCATCCTCAGGGATGTTTCCCAGACCGTCACCAATAGCCCATTGTACAGCTCTAGGATGCCGTAAATGAAGTTCCTACCTACCTACCTTTTATGGGTGACTTTTATAAAAAAAAATTATTATATTTTTATAAATATCATGTATGTATTATGATAAGTAATTAATCTGAGCATAATTCAATAGTAGGATCCCTTGAAGGACAAGGTAGTGTGATAAGCCATTTATTGTCGCAAGTGAAAATTGGAATGGATTTAACAAAAGTTGTTCTCCCTACTTTCATCTTGGAACGACGATCTCTCTTGGAAATGTATGCTGATTTCTTTGCCCACCCAGACATATTCATTAGGCAAGTTCTTCATGTTTATTATTAGTAATATTTGATTTATGTTTAAAGAATCTGAATAAAGTTCATTATAATGCTGCTCAAGAGCTGATAAAATTGTTATAGCGAGCTTGTTGTTGTAAGCAAATACGCCCCGTGGCAGAATCGTGGCGACGCGACGACATTGTCGCCGATTGTTACCGAGTTCTTGCAGAAAGAGTTCTCCTTTGTGGAGTAAAAAATTTTGGTTTTCTTTTCTGCTGAAATTTTCGAAAAATTTTTTCTTTTCTTCAGAATTATATTTAAAAGATGCCTTTCCGCACATCAAAGGAGTGGGGAAAAAATGCTTATGATTTTTCATTTCAGAATAAGGAAAAATGAAGAGTAATGAAATAAAAAAAAATTAGTTTTCTATTCTGCAGAAATTTTTTATGCAGTATTACTATTGACTTTCACATAGCTTTTAAAATCTGATATTTTCAATAGGATATTATTTATTACAACAACTGAATCTCGAATTGAAAACGCGCATTTAGTAACCACTTTTTGAAGAGTCCGATTCGCGTGATTTCGCCGTCGATCTTTTTTGTCGGTAGTTACTGCTAAGGATTTTGCAATTTTTTTAATTTTTATTTTAATGTGATGATGAATAACAAAATTCAAAAAAGGAAATAGTGTGTTATTCCCCTACAAAATGCGAGAATATCGCCCAAAATTTTAGAAAAAAAAATTACATATTTAATTCAAAAAATTCTTTTATTTGATCAAAATATTTTTCTCGAAGTTGACGCTTCTGTTACTTTAAATTAGTAACGTGTATATTTGATATTTTTATAAATATCTTGCAGAAAGATATTAGAATTACATAGTTATGTCGCAGAAAGCCAGAAAAAATTCTGCCCCAGAGCAAATACACGCATTTATTGTTGGAAAGTTAATGTCTTCTTAGTACCGTATTCTTTTCTCCATATTGAGCTTTAACTAACAAAAATTCTGGAAACATTACATGCTTTTAAGAGAGTCTAGGAAAAGAAATTAAATACTAGCTCTTAAAGTCATTAATAACACTGAATATTGATTTAAATAGTAAAATATCAAGAATAGCTTGTAAATAATAAACAGTGAATAATAAGCAGTTAGATAAAAATGTGGTCAACAAAATATGAATTCTTTTGAAATGATCAGCAAGATTTCCAAAAACATTTGAATAATCCTTCTTATAAGGAGGAAGATATCTTCTCTGGTGGCTGCAAGCACATGATTTATAAACATTTGGGTTCTAGTTTGTAAGAAAAAATAAAGTGATGTTCGTTTTCCACTTTTCAATATTGATTGTGCTGCCACCTGGTTTGAAACTTTATCTCTTTAATCCATAAAAACATTTATATATCCGTATCAGCCAAACTGTTCACAATGTTAATTCATAAACCTTAATATGAAACTTCTTGCATGTTTCATTTTTTATTTTGAAAACTTCTGTTTTAAAGGAAATAAAACATCTCTGTGGCAAAAAAAAAACCAAAAAAAAAAACCGAAAATTAAAAATCCAAAATTGCATACCAATCCTGGTTTATAGAATCAAGGATAATATTTTTCCAGTTCATTTAAAATTTTAATGGTTACAAACGAATGTGCCATCTTTAATTTCGAACACTGTTACTCGTATTGATGTAACCTAAGTAAAATCTGCGTCACAAAAACCCATTGTTCAAGCATTCATTAGTTAAATATTATGATTGCACAAATCTTTTAAGTAGCTGCCATTGAGTAAATATAATTATTATTCAAAATTTTTGTATGTAATGATAATTTTTGTTTTATTATTTATATAAATCTGAAAACGTTATTTTCAGCATTCCAGATTTTGATGACCCAAAAGATAGATTTGTACAAGTCATCCGATGGTACTTGTCGGCCTTCCATGCTGGAAGAAAAAGTTCCGTCGCTAAAAAACCTTATAATCCTATACTCGGGGAGATATTCCGCTGCTTTTGGCATATTCCTTCAATTCAAGAATCAGATGTAATTAATAATTTTTACTTTGACAAATTTTGTTCATTTTTTGATGAAATAGCTTGTTTTTCAGAAGTATGCTTTTTGGATTCCACACCCTCAAAAAAATGTTTTTGATTTGTCTATTTGTTAATGTTTGCTTCTTGTATGAAATAGTTCTCTCTGTGCTGAATTAGCCATCTTAAACTTCTCAATAGAATGTTACAAAATATAAATATATGCATTTCAGGCTAATTTTTGGTAATTTTCATCATCAAACTAATCTTAATTAATAAATAACTAGTAAACTAATCTTAGTAATAAAATTAGAATTTTAAAGCCACAATCGACCTTTTTTCTTTTTGCGGAGTAAATTTTTGAGTCTCACATTAAATAATCTTTTAATTATCAGTGAAGTCTAATAATTAATTAATTAGACATATTTTGCATTCCGTTAATTTTGTTTTTAATTTATACTGTTCAGTAAAAATTTGTAACATTAAAGTATAATAAGAGTAAAAAGTTTTCCGCCAAGAGGAGATACTTCTTCGCCAACAGCTGCCGTTCCTGTGGTAGTTAACCTTTCTCTAAACGGTTTTGTGCATTCTAAAGTTGGAACTACACAACTCTGTAATTTGCTTGTCAAAACTTTATTATCTTATGCACCAAAAAAGTGTTTAAAATAGAGCTATCACTTCAACAGATCAGATGGATTACATACTATGAGGTCCGAAATAAACTGAATGCCACAAACTGAGTGCAACTGAATGCCACAAACAAACTGTGTAAAAGTTTAGGTCTCAATACTGTTTCTTATAATACAGTAAAAGTTTGGTTTTGAATGTTTAAAGTTGGGAATTTTGACATTGAAGATAAACCAGGTTGTGGCTACTGTATTGGGGTTGAATGTGACGAGTTAAAGCAAATCATTGATCAAGACAAAAATGTTTCAACACGAACTATTGCGTTAGAGCTTAACATGTATGAATTTATCATTTTACAAGATTCTTTTATTTTGGCGGAAAATTTTTTACTCAACGTAATATTTAAATATTTATTTATGCTTGTATAAAAATTTTTTTTTTTGGTTAATCCTCCAAGCATTTTGAGCCCTTGGGTAAAATTGTACTGAAATTTTCTTTCTACTCACTAATCTTCCTATTAATAGTAGGAGGGAAATGTTGATTGCAGGTAAAAGCTTAGAAAAAGCTGAGACTATCACTTAGAGAGCTAAAAAAAAATGTACATATTAATGTGTTAATAGTTTTCACGTACCACAAAATAGCTTCAAAATTTTGTGGTGCTTATCACAAAAGACGCATAGTTTTAGAAAATATATTCACTGAATACTTGATTTCCTTCCAATGTTCCTACTGATTTAATGTGTCTTGTAAAATAAATAATTCTTATTGGATACGAATTACAAATAAATGTATTAAGAATCTTTATTTCTTAGAACCTATATGAAAATCATAAAAAAAAATTATTGAAATAACAAAACGAAAAGAGTAATGAAAAACTGTTTGAAGGATTAGGACTGAAATTGAAGTTAAAATCATTGGGGATTTAGATTGTCAGGAATGAAACTGTGTTGCCGTAGAAAGTGCTATATGTGGTACAATAATAATGATGGACAATATTGAAAAAAAAAAATTTTTGCATGGTGAATTTTCGCAGATATTTTTCTCTTCACTAAGTTCTTATTATTTCATTTTATTAATTTCATTATTTAATTTTATTTTTTAATTTGTTTTAGGAAACTCCCGTAAAAGTGAAAAACGGTCCAGTTCCTTGGGCAACGAGAGACCACTTAACATTTATTGCCGAACAAGTGTCTCATCACCCACCAAGTAATTCAAATACTAAAGCTTTTTTTTAACTATTAGATTAAGTAAAAACCGTTTTTATGCTGCTAGGTTAAGTAAATGATAAGTTCCCCATGCTCTTTGTTGTTATTTAAGTAAGATACGCTTGCTTTATACTCTGTGCTTCAACTTATTTCATGTCATTTAAGTAATGTCATATTGTTTCAGCCTGAGTTGAGGTGAACTTTTATTAATAAACTTTATTTTTGAACTTTTATTAATGAACTTTTGTTAATAAAAATTTTGCTAAATATTAAGTATTTGCATAAATTACAAATATATTCCTGCATTAACTGGAGATAGGCATTAAATGGTGTTGAATATTTGATCTAACGAAGCTTTTTTGTACTGCACTTAGTTAAACATTTAGGTCTAAACTTTCTGGCTAATATATCCAATATATTTCTTAATGCTTTCACTATATTTCACTAGCATTGCAAAAAGAGCTCTGCTTATTTAAGTTGCATTTGATTTTTAGTTGATTATTATATCTTCTATTTATTAAATATAGTTTCTGCCTTTTATGCTGAGCATGTGAATAAAGGGATCAGTTGTACAGCGCATATTTGGACCAAGTCTAAGTTTTTGGGCCTTTCGATTGGAGTCCAGAATATTGGGCAAGCAACTATCAATGTTATGAAACATAATGAGGAATATATTTTAACCTTCCCAAATGGCTACGGCAGGTGAGATATCTCATCCCAATCTTATTAAATTTACTGAAAATTTTTAATATGTGTTTAGTATATAAAATGAATACTTTTCTTCTTCTCAAATGCCGATCACTCGTTTAGTGGTTATTGTACTGGACTACGAGGTGAGTGGTTGTGGGCTCAAATCCCCCCATAGGCATGGATGTAACTTTCTCTCTCTGTGGGTTCTATGTCCTTTTTTCTGTGTCATTGTGTGAATGTAACCTGCCTATGAATGGATTTGTGGTTGTATGACGTGGGTGGCGCTACTCCACTGCAATGGCTTAGCCACAGGTGCCCACTGGCTAACGATAAGAGAGTAGCAGTTCTGGCATTTCTGAGGCCAATGGGAAATAGACCCAAATGCCTGCCATTATAAAAAATATTTCTTTTTAAATAATTTGCTACCATTTACTTATCTGTCAATTATTTTATTAGGAGACATATTTTGAACATGAGCATTATGAATTTTTATCGGATGAAACAAATTCTTTTGAATTCTTCTTCTACCGCAAGTTCCATTTTCAAACTGCTGCTTCTCCCAAGTAGTAAATAAAAAGTTGATCAAGGAAGTAAAAAGAGAAATGTCCCCATGTTGAGATAAATCGTATGCAGGTTAACCCCTTTTACTAGATTTTAGGTTTGTAATGCTCCAATTTCATGATATGACTATCAAGTTTTAATGAAATATTTTTTAACTCTTAAGATATCAAATAATTCTTTCTCTAACGTACTTGGGCTGTTTTTATTTGTCTTCAAATTTTAAATTTTAAAGATATATCTTATTTGGCTGTTTCTCGATTCTAATATTTGAAGTTTCCTTGCAAACTGCAAATGGTGAGCCAGATTGGCTCGGTATAGGCCGAACTAATGAGGTGACTTCTGAAAAGAAATCCTCTCTTTTTACAAAATTATTTAAAAAAACATACATTAACATACCTGCTAACTCTTCTGGATTTTCCGGAAGATTTTATTTTCATATTTAAAGTGGTAGCAATACTCAGGTTATTCCAATTAACTTTTTGAATTATAATAATAATTATAAATGAGTTTGACCACCACTACATATAAATAATTGCAATAAATATATGAAAGCATAATAATCCTTGCGCAAGCGAGTTTCAACGAGATCGAAATATAAATATATTTTTGAGTCAGATTGTTTTTCGTTTATTGCTTTACAACCACTCTGAAAATCCATTCTCGGAAGGAGTGAAAGTTGGCAGGTATGCATTAAGAAACGAGTGCAATTAATAAATATGCATTGACTTTACAATTTTTGTTGTATACTTTCACTGCTATTTTAAAACATTACTTTAAGCTGTAGTTTCTATAGTTAAACGTCTAACATTTTTTTAGGTAGGAAAAATTAAAGAATATTTATAATATAATTTTTTTTAAAAAAATTAAATTTTTCTAACCAATTCCTTTTCTACAGGAATAAATGTTTGCAATTAATTTTGTCCTTAACCTGCATATTTTTAAGGTTATTAAGATATGCTGACTGGATATTAAAACTGTTTTTAAGTCACGTTTCAAAAATTCACAATCACTTTTTTCACTTCTTTTTTTACAATGACCTGTGATGAATAATTGAAATTCTAAAAAAAATGAATAATTATATTATTTTATTCCAAATGTTGTTTTTCATTCTTTACACTACAATTTTATGAGTTGTTCACAATATTTCAATCATAGAATGCTAAGTATGCCCTTACTATTTCTTTTCAACTATCTTCCACATGGTTCATTGCTTAAGTTTATTTAAAGAATAATATTTTCAGGTCTATATTGGGTGTACCTTGGATTGAACTTGGAGGGTCCGTAACCGTTACTTGTCCTCAAACTGGTTATCATGCAAATGTCGAATTTCACACAAGGGTATGTGCTTTTCTTATCATTTATATTGAGTGATGCAGGTTATACATAGTCTTTGAATTTTCGGTATTTTTTTTTGTTTTAAAAAGTATGCTCTCGGCTTTACTAGCTTACCTCGATTTACTAAAATTCGGAAACATGTGTTATATTTATTTCCACATTATTTGTTTTGAAAATTAATGATTTATTTATGTTTTACAAACAAAGAATATATTATCAATATTAATTATATTATAAGTTGGACATGTTTGAGAATATATTATGTTTCACAAACAAAGTATATATACTTTGACCTACTTATAGTATATTTAAAGAATGTATTATAAGTAGGACTTCCTTGTTTCTGATATATTATTGTACCCAATCAACACCTAGAAATGCAGGCTTCAGTTCAGAATACTTCAACTGTCAACTCTACTAAATTTACCAGTAGACTCCTGAATTTTGCCTATTTCTACTGGTCTGCAAGAATTCTCCTGATTTTTATTCATTTGTGAACATTCTCCTTATTTTATCACATTTTTGAAAATTCCCTAAATTTAGTGAGTTTCCTAATAAAATCTCTATTGAAATAGTATTTATTGCTTACTTGAATATTAAAATAAGTATTGCTAATACATAATGAAGTGCTCCTCATTGTTAATAATCAGTTTCAAGCTTTTTTTCTTATTTAAAATTTTCATTTCTTTTTTTTTCAGAACTCCTTTTTTAAATTAATAAAAAGGATTTTTAACCAACTTTTTTCTAAACTACTTGTCTATTACTATTAAAAGTGAGTTAACATAATAAAAAGTATTTCTAGTTCATTTAACAGGGCTGATTGTGCTCCGGAAAAAATCCAGATTTCCAGATTTTTCGCTAACAGTGATCCGGAAGTTTCCGGAGATCGAAGGTCCAGACGTTTAAAAAAAAACATTGATCACAGAAGTTTCCGGAAATCAAATTTTCAAAGGTGGAACTTAAAAACACAGTTTATTTTATTTGTTTGTAAAGGAGAGCCATACAGATACTTTCTAAGATTCATTCATATTCATGATTAATATTCATTTTTATATCAGTAAATAGTTGTTATAATCATAAACTCAAGGAAGAAAGACATATTTGTAAATTTTAATTACTTCTCCAGGTCATCATAGGTATGTATAAATGGTATAGGTATGTGTAAAATTTTAAATATATTTTAAGTAAACTAAGAAATATTGAGAAAAAGGAAAAAAAAAACCTTGTTTAAATTTTTTTTTTGAAATTTTTCAATTTAACCGTCTTTTTTTTTTTTTTTTAACTTAAGAAATTTTGTGGAATTTTCACTTGGGCTCACAATCACCCCTGATTTAATTTCGATTATAAACGAAAAATATTGTAGACCATTTATGTTAGAATGATAAAGTTTTTGTGTTCTGATGACTAAGATTCCCTATATGTAAAATATTTAGTATATTATGCAACAGTTAACATGAGATTTATTTTATTTCGTAAAATCTACTGGATTTTTTTCCTATCTATGTTGGTAGCTATGCTTGTATCATTCTTGCTCTTCGTCAGATTTAATTAGAAAGCATTTTGATGTCAATTGCTCTTTACAAAGCACTGAGCTTCATTTGTAACAAAATTTATTCTTTATGACCATTTCTCAAGGTCTCTATTTTATTATTATTCCTATAAAAAACATGTTTCAATAAAATTGCAGTAAAATATATTATCAATCTATTGCCGTTTAATATTTTTGTGTGACAAAAATCTTTTTAAATAAACACATTAAAGACTATTTTTTGAGAAGCTTTGTTTAATGTTGATCTTGTGTAATGTTGATGCTTGCAGCCTATATACGGAGGAAAAAAGCACCGCATCTCATCAGAGTTATTTAGTCCAACAGAAAAAAAAGCCTTCTTATCTGTAACTGGTGAATGGAATGGAATTATGGAAGGAAAATGGTCTTTTGGTGTAAATATATTTGACATTTATTTTCATTTTGATGTGTTAGTTCTGTAGTGCATCACAGAAGTTATGAATTTGATCTCTATTCTCTTTCTCTTCTATCTATTTCTCTTTTCATTCTTATAATGATTAAACATCCCTTCAAAATGTATAAAAATTTTGCAACAAAGCATCCTGCCTGGAAGAATAATATAGGTAAGAAAATTTAAGCAAGATGGTAACCAATGGTTTCAAAACTTCCTTGCAGAATTAAAAATTCTCAGAAAATTAAGGAGTTTATTTTTTCGCAAATAAAATTTGCATTCGTAGTATTAGAGCCAACGTCTTACTATATCAGCAGGTAAAGTTACTTTATAATAATGTTTTAATGGTTTGCTAAAACTTAAAATGGTTGACTGTCTATTAAATAAACATGATTTAAATGCAGTAACACCTTTAAATATTGCAAAAAGTTCTAATTTTATGCCGGATAAGTTTCTTTTCATGTTAAGCGATCAGTTTGAAAATATTATGATAAGCATGTAAAACAGAACAATAATTGATTGCTAACTCCCAGAACTAAACATGTGTTTCATGTAAAGCGATATTTCATGTTGAGCATTTTCATGTTAAGGAAGTTTCATGTTTGTGGAACGATACACTCTTAATGTCAGAGAAAAAAGATTATTTGCTGTTTTAAAAAAAAGTATTCACAATATATAACACATGATGAAAATTGTAATTGGGAATCAACTGTTATTATTTGTACCTATCTAGATAAACGAACTTTATGGTTATGCTTAATTTTATTATAAATGTCCAATGTAAGTAAAGAAATTGAAAAGCCCAAATAGAAAATTTACCTCAACATTATTAATTTTAGATTGAATTGTTGGAAGGTTAATATCGTTAGAAACAATGTTTACTTTCTCAACTGTTTCATCAATATTACAAGTTAAAAAGTTTTTAATTGACAAATTTGAATTATGCATTTTAGAAGACATGAAATTATTAATATTGAAAGTGGATGGATTCGTGGATGAATAGACAGGGCCATCCATTACCGTAAAATTAGTGTTAAGATTACTAGCATTATTTACATCAATTCTCAGATGGAAGGTCTCAGTTTGAACTGTAGGTGATATATTGAACTGTAATAATGTATTTTCTTTCAACTGACTAACAAACCACTCAACATATTATGAAATACCTGAAAATAAACAGGTATACTAAAACTAAATTTACTTGAATTATTTATCCCTGCCATTTGGCAAATCAGTTGAGTCAGACATAATTACAGTTAATTGATTAAAATTAAAATTCAGTAATTTAAATTCACTCCCTGTAATAATTATGTTGCCATCACTTCTCATGTATAATCCAAATAAACTTTAAACATTATATAAATACAAAGAAATTACATATTTTCAAAATAATTGCTTTTATACATTTATACAGAAAAATAATGTAAAAAAAGAAGCATATTTGAAACAAATATTGCAAATAGAGCTGAAATCAAAATAATTGCTAACTAAGTAATAGTTTAATATATCGAATAAATAAAATAACATGAACTCTTACACAAAGTACCATAAAATATTGAAATAATTTCTATCACCATTACTCAAAAAATCATAAATTACCAAAATGTAATTATCATCAGGTCACTCAGTGACCTGATTTCACAATGTACAGTACCCTTCCAAATTATTAGAGACACTTAAAATTTCTAAAAAATTGTCATTTTTCAAAGTGTCATAATTTTTTCAAAAATGAATCAATTTTCATAACAATTTCAGGATATCATGTTCAGTTTTCTACTTTCACCTAAAAGTTACTAATTTAATTTATCTCAATTTCTTGCAAAAATTTGCACATTTGAACAAAGCAATTTCTTTTTTAAAAAAAATGTCAAATCTGACAAGTTGCTACTTTGTAACAAAATTTTTTGCATAAAAATTATTATTTACACATTAAAGTACAAGTCATTAACTTTAAAACGCGCTAAAGTAAATGACTTTACGATTTTGTTTGACCGAGATATGAGATTTTGAAAATCTTTTTGTCATTTATAGTGAAAACGAAATTATTGCGTATTCGAAAATTATTTAGTATTATTTTTTCGCAACTTTCTTATTCGGATTAATTAAGTTTTTTATTTAAAACATTATTACAAACAAGAACATTATTTATAAATTTGCAATAACAATTTTAAAAAACGACTCAAGAAATTTTTAAGAAATTTAGCTTAATTTTGCCACCTATTTTTATACAAAATTTAAACTTTTCTCATCTGTGATAATTATAAACTTATGCGAACCTTACGCAACAAATAAATAATTGATAGCTAACAAATTCTTAATCGAAAATAGTTAATAGGTTGATCTCTTTAAGCTGAAGAATAAATACTAAATAAATTTTCGAATTCACAATAATTTCGTTTTCACTATAAATGACAAAAAATTTTCAAAATCTCATATCTCAGTCAAAAAAAATCATAAAGTCATTTACTTTAGCGCGTTTTAAAGTTAATGACTTGTACTTTAATGTGTAAAAAATAATATTTATGCAAAAAATTTTGTTACAAAGTAGCAATTTGTCAGACTTGACATTTTTAAAAAAAAAAAATTGCTTTGTTCAAATGTGCAAATTTTTGCAAAAAATT